ACAATAAATTCAAATATTATAAGTATGGAGTCTAATAACCGATCTTGGTTGATGAAACCAGATTATTTTTCGGGTACTGAGGACGTAAGAAAATTTTTCAGGCAGTATGAAAAGGCAAGTGAAATTAATAGATGGAATGAGAGTGATAAAATAAAATTTTTGTCAATATTTTTAAAAGGGACAGCTAGTATATTTTTAGAAAACTTAGAAGATAAAAAATCAATTTGGACATACGAGGAATTAAAAAACGAATTTTTAGACGAATATCAACCAATAGGCTATTTAACTCTAATTAAAAATAAACTGGAAAAACGTAGGCAGGAAGAGTCAGAGTCAGTTATGAGTTATGTAACAGAAATTGAAAACTTATGTAGACAGTTAAATAAACAAATGAGTGAAGAAGATATATGTACTTATATTTTAAGAGGACTAAAAGAATCAGTATTGCATGCTATTTCGTTACATGATAATAGTAGTTTGAAAAATTTAAAAGATAACTTGAAAAAGTTTGAGTTAATGCAGTTTAGAATAAACAATAGAGGAGCCGCTGGTATCAGTGAATACACAGACATTATAAATAGACAGGTATCTCAACTAGATAAATATTCAAAAGAAAGAGAACTTGAGGTTCAAGATTTAAGGAGACAGTTAGATAGAAGAGATAGGGACTATAAAAGAGAAATAGAACGACTTAGCGATGAGATAAAAAATATTTTTAAACGTTTTATGATTTTCAACATTTGTTATTTAAAAAATTTTTAAGTTAATATGATGAGACATATAAATTATAAAAGTCCTTATTTTTAAATAAATTNAAATTATAAAAGTCCTTATTTTTAAATAAATTGAATTATTTTATTATATTTACAATAAAAATTCTTTTTTTTATTTTAATTCAAATTTATGGCAAACGCTCAAATAATTTTACGTCTAATGATAAATTTATAACAATGCAAATTACAAATCGGCATATTTAGATTTAATTTTAGTTATTTTTGATCAATATTCAATTGATTGTAGAATTATTAAGTAGTTTCATGTATGAATGATTTGAATAAGTGACAAAAAAACAGTTTAAAAATAGCAATTAAATAAAATTATAAGAAAAGCAGTTAATGACATAAATATTAATTTTTCTCAAGAATCTTCTCGTTGCCCTTCAAGTTAACAATAATTTGTAGTTAATTTCTTAATAGCATCACCTATGATAATTTTACTTACGAAACATTGAAATAGTAAATACTTGTAATAAAAAAACTCAGCACAAGGCGTTCACTGCACAGTGGTAACCTGGCTTAGTTGGATCAAGTATCGTGTCAAGATATCCAGAATATGTGCACCATTTATGTATACTCATTTAGTTCGACGGTCTAACTGAGTAGTGGCAATTTGAATACTTATTGTTGCACATGAAATTGAAGTTAAAAATGTTTACACATTTACAAATATAAATTTGCTAGTCAATTAATATTATCATTGAGCCAACACTATTTTATAAACGAAAAGTATAAATAATACGAATACATGTACAGTTAATTAATTACTATTTATAATTGGTTTTTTTTTAGTAAAAGTACCTAAATATCTACGTTTTAATTAAAGAACGTCAACTAGTGTTCAGCTTGATTTTTGTACGACGTATAATACTGATACTATAATTTTTTTAAGTACTCAGTTCCATATGTTTTTCGAAAATCAATCTGATATCTTATTTCCAACAAAAACGAAGCACTTAATGAGCTTTATGTTTCGGGATTGTCATTACGGCACATATTGATTGTTCACTATTTAGAGTAGTAATTGATTGCCAGAACATTTATTAGTGACGACAGTAAACTTAACAATCTTATTTTGTTAGTAATATATATATATGTTATTATCCCAAGTTTAGCAGTCTAGTTATATTGATATTTAGGCTACAAAATTTTAATAACACTAAATTTTAGCGGTTGTGTTTAATGAAAAAATATATAATTTAGTATCATTAATATATTTTCGTAGATAAACTTTGAAGTAATTATGGGATTTATTAAATAGTAACCATCGATACTTAGCCAATCTGTTAGAATAGTTTTTAAACTTTCGGTAGTTTTTTTTTTTTAATATCTGATAATGTATACTAAAAATAAACTATTTATTTGTAGAAAAATACACTCACATCAGCCTTCCACATGTCGCATTCAATAATTTCCATCCATCTATTTTTTGGTCTTATTCTATCTCTTCTTCCTTCAACATACATTTCAATAACAGTTCTTACAGCTACCGATTCCTCTCCTCTCATATCACGATCAAACCATCTAAGTCTATTTTCTCTCATCTTAATCATAATTGACGCTGCACCAATACTTTTTCTTATATGTTTGTTTCTTTTCCTATCTTCACTAGTCATTCCACTTATCCATTTAAGCATTCTCATCTTTGCTACACTCATTCTCTGCTCTATTCTCTTGTCAATCGCCCAACACTCTGAACAATACATTATATCTTGTCGCAATACAGTTTTATAGAACTTAAGCTTCAATGAAATTCTTTTATTGCATAACACACCAGACATTTCTCTCCACTTCAACTACCCGCACTTAATTCTGTGTCTTACATCCTCATCAATACCACCGCTCTTTTGCACAACTGATGCTAAATATTTAAAACTTTTCACCCTTCCTATCACGACCTTGATTATTGTCACTGATGTCCTTATTTCACCTACCTCGTGTTCTCCTTTATCGATCTCGTACACTTTATACTTAGTCTTACTCCTATTAATTCTTAAACCCTTTTCTTCAAGAGTAATAATTTAAAAACATTTTAAGTTTCAAATTTTTCAAAATTTCAACAAATACAAGTAGCTAATTGGTTTTTTATGACGTCGCTGTCACAGTTCTGGAGTGTTTATTGTCAATTATGACTGTCCATAGATATACTTTCTGCATTGCCGGATAGTGTATTTATAAACTCACAACAATGTGCCTTACTACCATTGATAATAAATGCTGTGTACCTGCAAATATCAACGTCATAAAAAACTAATTTGATACTTTTATTTTTAATCCCTTGTGTATTACACACATACAGGGTGTTCAGTAAGTCAGGAAACGGGTTTCTATTGTTACAAACAATGAGAACAATAGAAACCCGTTTCCTGACTTACTGAACACCCTGTATATTAATTCAAAAATTTGAAACTGTAAATCTTTATATCTAATATACGAACAAAGTTATATTAAAAATTCAAATGCCATTTATCATTAAATTAAAAACTCAAATATTTTATTAAATTAAAAATATGAGTCCTCATTAAAAAAAACAAAGTTAACACCCTTACATGGCGGCATAAGGGATGAACTTAAAAAGTATTACATAGTTAATAATTTAAGAATAATGTGTAACTAAAGATACCTAAAAAAAAAATGTTTAAATTATTATTATTCTGTAAGTAATTGAGAGGGTTTTTAAAAAAAATGACTTTGGTAGATATATATTAGTTAAATTTTTATCAATAATATTTGTGTATTCGTTGATTTTGTTACATCAACGTATGATTCTATCAATTATATATCGACAATTATATATATACAGGGTGGCCCACCATTCACTGACAACTTAAATAACTTTTGATCCAGTTAATATTTTTAGTTGATTTTTTTTTTAAATAATAGTT